CAAAATTGATCAAAACGTTGCTGGCTTAATTAGTTGATCGCAAGTATAGATATAAAAATGCCTTGCAAAGTTGGTGCAGTCACAAAATAAAGAATCTCTGTAATTCAAGCATTATTTGTTTCATGTTTTAATATATGTATTTATTTGTCTAATATTGAAAAAGGTAACCTATATGTATAAATTTTACCTAATTTGTTCCTTATTAAAATTATAATTACAAAGAAACTTTGGGGTACAAATGAATTAAAATTTAAAATATTTACCAAAGGGGTTTGCATATATATTTTTGCTGAACTTGTTTTTCTTAAGTTGTTTTCTCCATTCCCTTAGCAATACCGATTATATAACTACTATTAAACTAATTATAATATGAAATGTAAAGATAACTAAAACTTTGAATGAGTTTAAATAAAATTAAGATATTGTCAATTTCACAACAGTCCGTGTTTTACAAGAGTAAAAAGGGAAATTGATTTGGTTAAAAATTCTATAATTTAAAAATCTCTGTACTAATAGAAAAGGTTCGGATCTAATTGTTTTAGTACAAACATAAAAAAGGCACATTTGGAATGCATTTATGCTCTTACCGCATAACATTTCACAACATTACTTAAAATCCCTATGTAATGCAGATAGTATTAAAAAATATTTTTAAACTTATGTATTAAAAAGGCACATATGGAATGCTTCAAATTAGTCAAATATTTAATTTACAAGTGAGTACCATTCTTTCTAATTTTGTAAAGTTAATTTTTTTATTCCCCTTTGTCCTAATTAGCTTAGTACGTTTTTTTTTTATCCTATTACATCCTACATACATACATACATAATACAAACGTACTTATAACGGCAATCTAATAACCATCAACTACATATATATACAATATGGCAAGACTCTGGATTCTGTTGCTTTTACGTTTCTCCTCCTTCCAGTTATTTACATAGTTTTCTTTCCTTTAATCTCGTTTTACTTTAGACAAATTATTTAACGTCTTACATTCTAAAAATATATGTGTTAATAAATTAATTGTATGTATGCACATTAGGGTGGTCCAAAGTTTTTTTCAAGCCACCCCCAGAACTGAAGAATATCGAAATTGAAGCGGATCTCCTTATTTTTTTATTTTGAAATCGGGGCTTTTAAAGTTTTCCAGATATCTCTTTCATACCCGATAATCTTATCTTTTATATACAAAAATTTGTTATTTTATGGTAAAATTTCAAAGTTATGTATGATTCTTTTTTTTTGGAGACTTCAGAAGTGAAATATTCGTATTCGATCAAAAAATATTAGTTTTAAACAATTTTAGAGTAATTCTTTGAAAAAATTTATTTTCCTCCTGTTACAGCCGGTTTCACCAGCAGTTTAAATGGCTATAAAATATATGGATAAATATTAGCCACTTAAAAAGAAAATACTAGTCTTATTTTCGATATTCTTCCGTTCTGGTGGCAGCGGTAAAATCTCAAAAAAAAAAAATTTATTTTCTTTTGTATTTTTGGACCACCCTAATGTATGCATATATGCGTCTGTATGTACATTTGTACATGTACATTCGAGAGTCTCACGGTCCAGCCAAACAACAATAGGACTTCTTTCCCCAAGCAAATTAAAATTTTTATAAATTATATAGCTCCTACCAAAATATTTTGGCTCATCGTGAGATAAACCGCGTTGGCGAAGTTCATAAAATTCGTGTTTTCATGAATGAATAATTTAAAAAAAGAATTGCGTTTAAGTTTAACCGACTTCAAAAAAAGCGAAAAAGTTATCAATTTGTCGGAATATTTGTTTTTTTGTTACTTTAAACCACGTTAACCGACTTCAATAATTCTTTTTTTAAAGGCGTCTCCGAGGTGGTGCCATACTAATTTGGTTAGATCCGATCATTCGCTCATGAAGAAATTAACGGTACTCTTAAATTTGTATATGCGAATTGAAGTCGGTTTTTTTTTTTGCTTAAAAATCACTTTTTTTGAAAATTCTACCAACATGTTAAACATATTTTTAAAGTTTTATGTGAATAAATCAACCATTTTTAGTGGGCTTTTATTTCAAAGTTATTAATGAAAGGGTTTTTTTTTACTTCTTTACTGTTTATAAAATTCAGTCAGCAAAGATAGAGTTAAAAAAAAAAAATCGTGGTGCGAGATGAAAAAATTGGATTTAAGATATGAGCTGAGTTATACAAGTATCCTTGCCATTTATTTAGATTTAAGAAATTTTTTCTTTATAATCTTAAGGCATATATTTTATGTCTACATTCAAGGGACTTCATTGTAACGAAAAACGCACCCCGTTTATAATTTATAATTTAATAGTTTAATTATAATAAAATATTTTGGTAAGAACCATTAAGATTAAAATTGATATGATTCGCTTTGGAAAGCCGCAGTTTTTTCTTTGTTCGTGAGGTATCCTAATAATCATGAACGTACTCTTCTTAAAAGTAAAAAGGAACTAATAGTGTTAAAAAATATATATTTTTCTGAAATGCTCTTCACTTCACACCTCTGCTAATTTAGCAGTAACTGCTTTTCAACTCTTGAATATTCAATTCACCATAAAGCGCATCCATGGACAAAATGTGTCGTGAGTGCTTGGGTTTGCCTTCTACCTAAATCCGCATCATAGTGGCCGTTGAAAACAGCTTCTAGAGACGATGCCGCTGCCTGTACTATTACGTTGAATTCGACGGCGTCGGATCATTTCATGACTCATCTGGCCAGTTGTCGGCAGCGGCCATTGCATCTGAGATTGACGCTGCTTCCGATGTGAGAGCATTTCCTTTAGTGCAAAAAAGGCGGCAACACGTAACTGTGAGTCACGTTGGCACCTTGGCCTGGCCCACTGCCATTCTCCTCATTCTTGATCACAGTTTGTAGGCTGGAAGTGGTGCCATCACTGCTCGGATCGTCCACACTTTGTGAGCCCACCGATCCTGTTACAATAGTACCGTAGTGTTGTTGTTTCATTACCGCATTGTGACCATCGTGTGAGTGTGATTGAGCCTCTGCTATGTGGCAGCCTCCATTGGCATGGTGCGGATCCAAGGGGCTTAGTGTGTGCGGCACACCACCCACGCTCACATATTTCCCCTCCTCACTAGATAGATATTTTCCATTACTTGTGACCTGATGATGCATAACTACGACATTGTGGTCGCCCATATGACCAGAGGCATTGTTGGCCTCATCCAACGGCGATGTGCCATAGCCGCCATCGGTGGAGTGTATTTTATGCGTTGCGCCGCCATCATCCGCACCACTACCAGGGCCACCCATTTCCAACCGGGGTGGACTGCCATATTCGAAATGGCGCATGGGGAAGAGTTGACTTTCGTGGACGTAGGTGCCGTATTGGCTCGAATAAGTACCATAAGGACTGGCGGCCGGTGAGAGCAGACTGAATTGGGGGCTCAGTTCATACGGTGGTTGATAGCTTGTCCAGCTATCCATGCTGCCTGGTGGCGTAACGGTAGTCGTTTGTGGGAAGGTAGCAAACGGTGGTCCGAGCGGCGTGTTCATTGAGGAGGTGGGCGGTGTGCTTGTCTTGATGAAGCCGGTTTTCCGCGGTGGTTCATGCTTGCGCCACTTAGCTCGGCGGTTCTGAAACCACACTTGAACTCGAGATTCGCTTAGGTTAAGTTTAATGGCGAGCTCTTCGCGTGCGAACACATCTGGATAAGGGGCACGCTCAAAGGCACGTTCCAGTTCTTCCAGCTGGTAAGCCGTAAACGTGGTTCTAAAAAGAAAGTAACAAAAAATAAAGAATTTGATGAAATTGAAAAGTTTGTACTAAGTTCTATCAATGGGAATAAAGTCAAGCCAGCGAGCCGAAGATAAAGCCGTAGTGCAACTTAAAGTAAAAATACGGGCTTACTGGGAAACTGGGAAATGGGAAAGATCAATTTACCGATTTCCTAAAAGCATAAACAGACGGCAGCGTTGATCCGGATCAACTCGGGAATTAACTGCAGTTGATCCGGATTAAGTCCGAGTTAATCCGGATCGACGCTGCCTTCTGTTTAAACTTTAACTGTGAGTCGAGTAAACCGGGCCATCCTAAATAAGTTGTTGTTTGGAAAGAATTTTACATTTTCACAAGTATTAAGAAATTGCCTAAAATTGTTTAATTTTTTTTAAGTATTAATTGCCCAATTATTTTCTATTTTTAAACTCAATATTAATTTTTGCTCTTTTTTCTTTTCAATAAATTGCTCTACAATTTTTACTAATACTGGAAACCTTCATACAAAACATATTCGCTCAATTTTTCATTAGTAAAATCAGTGAAAATGTTTCCTTTTTCATACTTTTCTTCATCACTGTGCTCACCGACATGCTTTCTACAATCCTCTCATACAATGCTCGCACATAGTAGGCAACTCGTCCGAAAATATTTGCAAATTTCTTAAAATAAATCTTATTTGGCATTTAGTAGGAATCCAAAATTATTAGTAGTAACACCAGAGTTGGAGGATAAAAAGAAATATTCTGGCCAAGGCACATCAAACAGGTAGTAGAATTACAGCAAAAACAACATTTGCATAAACTTTGTTTTTGCTTATGGTAGATATCTAAAGTGTCGAAAAATTGTCTACATTTTTACATTTTTTAAATATAGAAAAAAAAAAAAATTGGTGCGACTTTATTTCTTTGCTTTGCAGGACCCAATAATTAGCATTTATGCTGCTGCGTTATAAAGGCTAATTTTCAATTCCTTTTTTGCCAATTTAGAATGTTTGTGAAAAAAAAATTTAAAATATTGGATAGTTTAAATTTCAGAAGAAAATTTCTTTTTAAGGGGCAGATAAATTTTATTACCTATTTGAGAAAGCGGCCGCTAGTAACTTTATTTGTAGCTTGTTAATTCGAAACTCTGTACTCTGGCTTGACGCAGTTGAATATTAGCTCCGATCCCATACTTTTCATGTAAAACCCTATAAAATTGTCAAACAGCAAAAAGTAACGGAACAAAAACGCATTTTTCCTGTAAAAACGTGAAACAGCTTACAGAAGGAAGAGTTCGGGTAAAATCTTGAAACTTCATTCTCTACCCAACTCTCCAAAAATCGCTCTCATTTACAGGATTTTGGAGTGCGGGATCATTTTTCTTGTAACTTCATGGAGTACTGGATCAGAGCAGTTATAAAACCCAGCACTGAAGATTCCGATGTTATTCGTCGAGGAAAATAAATGTTTACAAACATTAAATTAAAAATCGATCTAGCTTTTTTTTTTTTTTAACTCTACAACTTCAATTGCACTTTTCCTGGGATACGAAAATTGCAAACCAAAGGCTAGTCTCTACGAGGAGGCATTGGTGTTATTGGAAAGGTTAAAAAAATTAATTTCAGAATTATGAATATTTAAAAATATTTAATTCAGTTTGGAAAAGAATTGATGAATTCTTATATTTGTATAATACAGATCACATTATTTGTAATTACAGGAAAAAAAAATGAGAACAACATTTGTACTAGGAATGTTAGTCCCGGGATCCCGGACTTTTTTTGGCAAATAATCCCGGGATTTTCGGTATTTCTAATTTGCACTGATGGCAATAAAAGAAATTCCTTTTCTTGACCAGTAGGCTATATTTCTTTTTTCCTTTAATATCTAATTAATATTTTTTTATAAATGTCTACATATAACATCGCGCAATAGTAAACTTTAAACACAAATATGAATGTATTTGCGAAGCCATGGACCAAATATAGTAAAATTGCGTCTTTAGTTTTACACTCTGACGTCAGTAGATAATTCAAAAACGATTTAAAAAATTCAGTGAAATGTGCTTCGAGAAAAGGTATGGTATCATGATTTATTTTGGAACGAATTTCCGTCATCCCTTGTCAAGTTTGGTTTGCAGACAAACCGGTTTCGGCGTTGTGCCATCTTCAGTGTCATTGGTATCATATTAAAGAGGAGTTTCTGAAGAATTTAAACAGATTCAATTGAAAATGCCCCTTTAAAATTTTATCCCTGAAATTTCGCAATATTAATTTTTAAAAAATTATATGTTAAGGACTGATATAAATTCAATCACATCCTCGAATTTCATCCTTCTAACTTTATCAGCTTATAAAATTTCTATTCGTCCTTGTGAATACAAAAAATTTAATTTTTTTTTAATTCTAAAGAAATTTTTTCTAGCATTTGGTACCTATATTTTTATGATAAAAACACTACTTAAAATAAAAAAAGTAGGTTTCAAACAAATAAAGCGTTATTTCCATTTCGAAGGGGAAATAGCGCTCACCAATAAAAGGAAAAAAACGCCGCAAGCAGTGCAAAGTATGCATAAATGAGCTATTAGTCATAAATTGCAGACAGTTGACTATGAGGAGCTGTTTTGTTATGTGATGGCGATTTGCTGCTAGAAAACATTTTTTTCAGCAAGTATTTTGTATCTCAATTTCAGTTACTAACATATTTGTTTCTTTACAGAATAGCCATACAATTTTATATAAACTAAAGTTCGTCAGTTGTGATTTTCTTCATTACAGTAGTTTTTAAGTAGCATAGAAAATAATTGTTTGATGTAGTAGTTGATGTTAAAGTCGATTAATTCTTTAGTGAGTAATATACCGACTTTTGTGCAGAGCTGAATATTAAAAGAAAATGAGTTAGGGCCTTTCTATATTAAGGTAACATTATGTTAATCACGAAAGGGCTCACTGTTTGCTTAAACTCTGAAAATCATATAATCTAGATGCCTTATCCGCTACATACCTACCAAAAAATCAATGAAAAAAAAAATAAATAAAAATACCTCCCACTGTCCTCATTTAATTAGACATAAAAAGCGCCAGTCTAATACTTAATAAGTGGCTCTAACTGCGAGAGTGGATTCGATATTAAAGTGTCAGATAAAAGTCTGGATTTCCTGCTGCTTATATTGCGCCAAAAGAAAAAAGGTGGATAATTATATTTGTAATTATTTCATTGCTTACCGAGTTTTCTTCTTCTTGATGCCATTGGTGTCGCCCTTCTTCTTGTCATTCTTACTTTTTGCTGCCGGTGTCGACGATTGGGGACCGCTTGCGCTGCTATTGCCGCCATTGCCATTGTTGGTTCCATTGCCGCCGCTAACATTTGAATTTATATCGCCACCGCTGCCATTTATGGACGCCATTTGACACATCTCATCCGCCTTTTTATGCTTGTTGTTATGGTTGTTGCCCGATGGTGTATTGCTTACTGTGCCACCAGCTTGTGTCACCGTTACGCCCGTCATTGTAACGCCCACCACACTTGTTGCACCATTGTTGCTATGGATCAGAATGCCTTCCCCAGCGCCGCTATGCGTCATATTGCTAGAGATTAGGCCATTTGCTTGCTGCGCAGACTCATTCCCATTTAACACTATTGTGCCGCCACCGCCACCGCCACCGTCATGTCCGTGTTGTGTGTGATGGGGACTGGATCCGTAGAGCTGTTGCATGTGCTGTTCATACTCCAATTTAGCAGCTGCGGCGGCAGAGTTTGGCGAATAGTCGAGCTTTCCGTTGCTCCCCGACATGTGTGAGTGGTAATCGGCTAGCATGGGGGCTTGATGTTGGCTGTGCATTTGCTTGTGGTGCAGCATGCCATTTGGACTGGCGACACCTCCGCTGGCCGGCGGTGGTGGAGGTGGTGTGGCTGAGTACTGGTGCGGATGTGCGGCGTGGTGATCGATTTTGTGCTGATTGTTGGCATTGGGCACAACGGTAGTGGTGTACTCGTACTTCTGAGTAGGTGAGTAGCAACCCATTTTATTCACAGAACTGTAATCTAATTTCTGACCATAGTCAGATGTTTTGTAGGGATCTAGTTTTGGCGAGCCACCTGGTAGAAGTGTATTACAGTCGGGCAATCGTTGGCTGCACATCTCGCCACTGCCGTTGTGTTGCAGTACAGAGTTTGGCGGCAGGCCCAACATGACTGGATGTAGACCGTGATGGCCAGCGCTGGAAACTCCGGTGGCGGAAGGTGCTAGAGGCTTGGCTCCTAGAGGACTAAGTGGACCTGAGAAATCGTTGAAGATCTGGTCATCGAAGGGGGGCGTGCTCCATGTTTACTTGAAAATCGTTCAGTGCTTCACTGCTGGCGCAAAAGTTTGTGTCTAACATCAGTGAGGAGGGTGAAGCAAGCGCTTATGCCAAGTGAGTTGGGAAACGAATGGAAGTTTCCTTCGAAAAATGCCTCTTATCGATGAGCTATGAACTGGAGCGCAGTTCGCGTAAAATGCTGTAGCCGATTAAATTATTTATTTTGCTGTCTATAGGCGCGCATTGGGATTTTCAGGCTATTTTATTTAAGTTTACAATGAATTTTCACTTTCGCGGGTGTTCACACTCGCTCATCGTTTTTAAACACAATAGATGCATGCACATAAATTAGTTGCTTAAACGATTTTGCTTACAATCAACTTAATCCATTGCGCCTAATCAAAGTGCGCGTGAAAATTAAATCAAAATCAATTAATGCAATTGTAAGGAATTGATGATTGTGGCGCTACACTAACCACTCTCAGCCGAGGTTTCTGCAACCCACAAAATTAAATTGTTGTAAATTAATTAATTGCATTTACCACGGAACGATCGCAATCGGTTTCAGTGTTCAGTGTTCAGTGTTCGGTGGTCGGTGTTGTTGAACCGCCTTTCGGAGTGTCGGTATCGCTTTGGTCTATTTGCACAATTTTCCGCACACTTTTCCAATTGAGATATGCATATTTTCGCACAACGATCCCGCTTTCGGTTGGATTTTAATTCTTGTCACCAAAGCGCTTTAATTAAAGGAATTAAGTCAATTTAAAATATATGAGTAGATATTCAGCCGCCAACAGCTGTGGCTTGGTTTGAACACTTTTTAACGATTTTGAATAGTTTCAACTTGGCACACACACGATGTTTACTTGTCGTGAACGCGTACAACTGACTGCTGATGGTTGATTTCACCGTTATAAGCAGCTGCCTTTACACAACGCGTGTCTATCGCTAACGAAGTCTATGCCCTTAATTGTGCCCACAAAACGATGATTGCCTTTTTATACTCAATTTAGCCGTCAATTGATTGAGGTCGCAAACGACCAATCAGAACATCGCAATGGCCGACCACTCGCTGTGCAACAGCACCGTACAATGGAGTAGGGGTAGGCGAATCGCGCAGCATCGTGTTGTTGCGTTGCAGGCAATGCATGTGCGAGAGCAGCATTACACAGTTAAACGAAAATACAAACAAGTGCGAGGAGTACCTATCTAAAGTTGACATAAACATTGTTGCTTCTATCCAAAAGCCTGGGCATTGGTATTTTAAGAGTAGAAGTTAAGTCTGTGAGATTTTTTTTGATTTGGAAAGCAAGGAATGTTTTTAGTCGTGAAATATGTATGTACATATGTACATATGTACTTACCATCGTCGTTTAAAGTACACAACCGCGTATCAGGATAATGCAAAACCCCGTATGTGAGGTTGCATTAATTATTTTCTATTTTCTCATACATATTTCAAAATGGTTCTCTTTTTTTATAAAGCAATCGCATATTTGGCTAGTATATTTCAGGACGAATGGATAAGGATTGATCCCAGAGCTTGTGTGAGTGAGCAAAACCAATTTATCGCTGCAAATGTCAGTTACGCGGCTTAGCAGAATAACAATACGCGGTTTTGTACTTTAAACGATAATATGATATGTGCATGCAAATACATACATCCATGTCGCCGTTTAAATTACAAACTCGATTATCAATATAATGCAAAACCTCGTATGTGAGGTTGTCCAAATTTTAGATTAGAGAGTAGTAAAACCTGTCGTCTTATTTCGAAGCGGTTCCCTCTTTTATCCCTAATTATCTCTACCTTTTATATCTAGATATCGATATTTTGGTATGAATGGATAAGGCTTAACACCAGGGGCTTCCGGTGATCAAATCTCATTTTTGGCACAAATGTCAGTTGCGAGGTTTTGCAGAACAACGATACGCGGTCTTGCACTTCAAGCGACGATATGCTACAATGTATGTCAGTGGCGGATACACAGGGGGGTTTTGAGGGTTAACCCCGCCTCCCCACCCTCAAGTCAAAGAATAATAGGTATTTCACTAATATGGGTTTAGAAAAAAGGCTCTTTAGAAGAAAGTATGCGTAATAAAGTTTCAAACGCGAATTTTTAAAATCATATATTCAATTTTTCGCTTTATTTATAAAACATTTTGATAATTTTAAACACATTAAATTTTTCGTTTTACTTATAAATCAATGAAACGAAGAATTTTCAAATTTTTCGTGGTTTTTTGAAAAATTCTTCTAGAACTTCGTCAACTGCAAAATTTATATCTTTGTGAATGAATATTCATAGATGCTCGACTGTCGAGTCTTTCTTGACATGTTGTATTTCTCAAGTAGGTTTTAATTATTTTCAGGCATAAAAAGCTTCGTTCAGGTGTGGCTATTGAAACGGGCAAAAGTGCCAATATACGTAAGATCTTAAAAACATTCCCAAAAGACGTTCTATTAGCTACTTGTAGTGCTTCGAGAGCATTTCGACCCTATTAAGCTGTCATTTCAGGGTACTATTTTATATATACATATATATGGAAAATTTGAAAGTTACGGGGGGCTCGAGCGCCCCACTGCCCCTACCTGGCTACGCCCATGTGCCTCGGCGTCACCGGTTTTCACATTAAAGCGATTATTTTGGCGACTGCTGTATCGCGGTACTTTGATTTCTGTACCTAGGCTGGTGCATACTTCTTCTACGTGTTCGAAAAGGAAATGAAAGTTTTTTCTGCATCTTGTCGCCTTTCTTCAAATTCCTTTAAAGCGTCGTCGGCTAAGCTCATTGCTTCTGCAAGATCTTCATCAGGTACTTGTAATTGCCGGCTAGCAAAGCAACAACAATTTATAAAAAAGCAAATGCTTGGCTGTTGTCGCTGTGCTAACAGTTTTTCAAACCCTGATAATTTCTATACATATTCGTACGATACAAATAATTTTTGCGGTATTTTCCCCGTGAAATATAAACAGTTTTTGACAATTGGAAGAAATACAACTTCGAAAGTCTTTTTTAAACGATTTTTCATTTTGCTACGTTAGAGCCGTTGCCGAGTAACACAAAAATTGCTCGTTTAAGGTAATTAGAATAAGGGGCAAAATTAAAACAGAATTCTAAAAACAGAATTGTGAAAAGAAGATATTGAAAGAAGTAAAGGCCATATAATAAATTCCTGAGTTGAAAAATCATGAAATTTAATCACCTACACATACTTTTAATTGTAGGGAAACCAGTAGGTATATTTTTAAAAGTTGCTAAAAAAACTTGGAGTGCACAAAAAAAAAATAACAAGTAACTTTTAAGCAGAAAAACACAATTGACTTTAATTCTCATACCTATAAAAAATTAGGATTACCGTTATTTTCTTCATGATCCAATGATCGAATCTAAACAAAATTAGTTTGCGGTATCCAAAGTCATGCGGTAACATGCATAAACACAAAAAGTAAAAAGAAAATATTCTGACGAATTGTTAACCTCCTCCTTTTTTGAAGTCGGTTCGAAAAATAAGGGTCGTTGGAGGAAATATACCGAACATTTTTCAATGTGTTAAATACAGATTAACAAGGCCTGCGGCAGCATTTTGCTGTAGTTGGATTTGGTGAGTTACGTACCTACATACTGGGTTACTATCATATGCTATTGGCAGCGGTCCAAGCTAAATTTGAACTCTAATATTCGTCTGTAACTCAACCTTGTCGCCATTATTGACTGATGCTCCAATTCTATTGTTCTTAAGTTTGTTCAATCTTCTCTAGTGAAATGACCGGCAAGACCGGCTAGTCAAAAACTTTGACGTTAAATTTTCGCTCATCAAAATAAAATGCATTCTACCATTCTTTTTCCGTCCCATACATCTGTTTATTTTTTCCATAGATCAACAAGCCTGATGTGGCTCATCTGACAGGGTAATTTTTTAAACGCTTGCTTTTTCAAGTGTTTATTAGATCTAAAATCCTGTCAAAGATAAAAGACAAGTACTAAATCGATCTAAATAGTCTTATTTCATGCACTGGGTATAGCAAAAATTGCAACAGAATTCAAGATTACCCATTAATACAGTTATTGGATGCAACATACCGTTATTTTTTCACATCTACCTTCATATCATTTTAAGATTTTGGTTTGCCACTTTTTTGCTATAATTTTTGGCAGTTCAGCCATCTTCTAAGTAAAAATACTTTTGCACTGAAACTGTTACGATGATTGATTGCCCCGTAGCGAATGTCATGCATTAGTCACTTAAGTGTCTTGTACAGCCATGCTAAGTCTTCAATGACTTTGGGCTCCGTTTATATGGAAGTCGTTCACGACTTTTCCATACAAATGGTCGTTAATGGCCTCTGCCTTTGGCCTTTGTCATGCAGTGATTATTGATGACATTCAAGCGACAATATCCTGTAATGAACTTTTTTTAAGTTACCGCTGCAAGACATTGTCTGTTATAAGTATTTGATTGGAGTACACCTGCATGACATCGTCACCAGTGTCATGGTCAGCTATAAGTCGTTTAGGATTCACAGCAAGTGCGTGCGACGATGCCACTAAATCGTCATTATCGACATAATGGTCGTATTATTGGACATCCATCGTATCTACATAAATTGTTGACAATTTTGTACGAAAAAATATTCGTTGCTGTTAACAATTAACTTTAGAACTTTCATTAGACGGACCTCATATAACACTATTCTAAATGAAAAATAAATAAAATATATCCGCTTTCCCTATACGGCTTGCTTTTGTATATACATATGGTCCATTTACTAAAAGAGTGTCATAACTCAAAATATGGAATTTTTCAGGAGAGGCAATTAAAGTTTTCAATTTGTTCGCCAAATGCAGAAAGAGATATGTACATACATATCGGGCTTTATGAAAAAAAAGCACTTGCTTTTTCTTAAAATTTCAGACCTTTTACTCGATTTTTTCAAATAAATTTAATTAAAAGGCCTGAAATTTTAAGAAAAAGCAATTGCTTAACTTTTATTCACACGGCCCAGTTGTCTTGTCACGCGGAAACTAAATATACCAAATTTTACTACGAAATTTTTGCACAATATGAGCCGTGATATAACGAGTAACTCTGAACATTTGCTCACAAATTTTTTATTTTTTTTTTGAGTTATGACACTCTGTTAGTAAATGTGCAATATGTATTTGTGCATAATTTGCTTGTTGTATTTGTTTTCTCACCATTCAAAACTTCCTGCATGCTTACGACGATTTGGCATGCGAACTGCT